ATCTACACTCTGTATCATCATATTAATTCTATAAAGCTCAAAAGGTCAAAGGGGTTAGATATACCATCATAAGTTTTCAAAGTTGGCATTTTAAACTCTTTTAGAGGCATAGCTCTATCAATTTTTCAATGAAGGGCGACGTCTCCAAGAACTTAAGCTTATCCTCGAAAGTTACCGCCTTTCTTTTCAGTTCTTTTTTCATGGCTTGCATTTAAACTTTTAGATCTCTCTCAATTAGGGTTTCAGATTGATTTGTTTCATTTTTTAGTTGTAGTGTGTGTCGAGTTGTGGCTAAGGTAATGGTGAATGGCTAGAACATCACGCTCTTTTAGCCTAGAAGTAGAGGAAGCTTATTCTTTTTCATAGCTTGGTTGTCTTTCTATAGCTTATCGACTAGGGGTGACTAGATCGGGCATCTTTGAAGCCTGAGATGGGGTTATAGTTTGTAATATTTGCTTGAGGGCTTGTATTTACTCGGTTAGAGCTTGGAATTGCTCTATGGTTGGACCAGCTTGTGTTGGAGCTGGTCGATCTATGTGCTGGCTATTATTTGTTTCCATTTCAATCGAGATGATAGTTTTTCCTTCTTCTAAAACTCTCTTTCTGGGTGGCATAATTTCAGGCTTGACTAATAAAATGGAAAATCCCCTATCGGCATGTCAAATGTTTGTGCTGAGCTCCAACCTGAGGGTATCCCTAGAATTACAAGAGAAGGAAGAAAGCGACTATATGCAAAAGCAGAAAGTGTTACTTACGTTTGTATTTCAACACATAAATTAGAGATTAGAATAAGAGAAATCGAAATGAGAGAAAAATAAGGAATTGGATCAAGATAGAACTTGTAATAATAATATCTAGATGTTTATATTTATAAGTGAGAGTTAAGGACCAAAAAGGGATAATAATGATGTGATCGAACTAATGTAACATTGAACATGTTAAGTCGACCTGACATACCAAATTGGTTCAAATATCTAAAATACATTTAATTGTCTACTAATAACCTTTAATAAAAAAAAAACCATAATACTTTTTTGACCATTAAATACTCCCACGATATATCCATATAAGAATGGTATCCAAACTCAATACATTTCTTTAGAATTGACACAATTTTTATATATGTTTTTTTAAATCTTAGTAATTCACCATTTTGATCTTTCTTACTCTCTTTAACCTTTGAAAGTGGCACTAGACTAGCGTTTTTGTTTTCTTTTACTTTATATTTTTTTAGCAATCACCTCTTTACACGTGACAAATAGTAGAACAACAAAAGAAAATTTTCTTGGATGTACGGCCCATGTAAACACGACTCCATTCTTGTTACATGTTTGCCTGAAGAAGAATAATCTTAAAACAATGATTCTTGAATTGGTAATGACAAAGAGATCCTTAAATTTGAATTTGCGTAAAATTTAAGCCTCAAATGTTGGCTTTAAAGAAAGGAGTGCAATATTGGTTCAATTGATTAATCCGTTAAGCTAGATTTTAAATGATTTTAACTTTGAGGTTTATAGCCCTTAATGGTTAATATTATTAAGATATTTTTGAAAGATACCATTAATATTTTCAATTAATATATTAACGTGACCTTGATCATATTTTTCTTATATTGGTGCGACGTAGACCATAAATAAGCAGCCAATTTTGTGAACATAGTGCATAAAAATGAATGTCAAATGAAAAGAGAAAGAAAGAAATAAATTTCATGCGTGACAATGCACTGACTTTTCTCTAATAAAGCAAAGATTTCTAATTATTAGAAATTATATACTAAATATTAAAAGAGTTTTCCAAATTAGTGCTAAAGCCTTTTACATTACTCTTTATAATAATATTTTTATATTAAATAAGTAGTTAACAGTTAATTGGATGACTTTTAAGGGAGTATTAGGTATCAATGCTACCCCTTAATATGTACACACTTAATGTAAAAAATTATTACATAAATCCTTTGTACCATTTTATCTATAGATCCTATCCAACAATATAAGATATTTCTTTATGTCATACTTACCAAGTTAAATAGAAAAAGCTTCACTTACAAAGAAACACAAATGACCTTTCTTCTCTCTTGTATCGTAAAACAATACAAAAAATTCACCTTTACTTCACCTTGTTCTCTCACCCTTTGTTCTTCACCTTTCATGATTTGATTATTTTATTCTTTCTTTTTCCAAAAATATTGTATTATTATTTTTAAATACAAATACAAAAAATTAAACCTAGATAAAAATTTTATAAGCCATCTTCCTGCTTAAGCATCGAAATTGTCATAAGGCAACCATGGTGATGGAGCACCATTGCAATGAAGCATCTTTTTGTTTGGAGTTTTTTTTTTCTTTTTTTTGATATTTTGGAGAGAGAAAAAAGAATTAAAATTTAATTTTTTCTATTTTTTTGTAAGAATAATTAGAAATTCTTGAATGTGACCCTAACTGATAAAACATGTTAAAGAATAAAAATAGCTAGTAAGAGAAGCCATTGACGATAGAAGAAGAAATTTTATTTTTAATTTACCGTTTGTGTTTTAATTTTGTTAAAATGAGTATTTTTTTTATTTGGCTTGATAAATTTGAGAAGAAAAAATATGTTGATAAAGTATGTTAAGTATTTAACTCAAAATTAATTGATAATAAGTAAAGGGACCCAACTTGAATATAAAATTATATGATGTAAAATAGTATAACTTTAACAGGCTTCCATCATGTATAGACAAAAAAAAAAAAAACATTTCACATGATAAATTTAGAAAAGATAAAAGAAATAAAATCTTGATTTTGATATCATATTAAGAATTTAATTTAAAACTAATTGATAATAAATGAAAGAGTCCGATATAAATATAAAACTGTAAGATGTAAGATAGCATCACTTTTAACGTAACATAATATTGCATTGGTTTTTTTGTATATAATTTATTTTTTTTTTTTATCAATTCTCTAATTCCATTGGTATCACACTATTAGATGACTTGTGATGCTAAAATCAATTAAACATTTAAAATTAGTATAAATAATACTTTTGCATAATTTTCTTTGGTTTTGTTTTTTTTTATTAAATTAACTCAACTTTGATTATTATTTTTTAAAATATTATATTAATTTAAAATTTTAAAAAATATGCTTCTACAATTTTGAAATTCAAAATTTGAGAATCTTATTTTTAAAATTTTTAAAATTTTATTAAAAATAATTTTCAAAATTGAATTCATTTGATTTAAAAACTAATAGAAGACAAACATAATGGGATGGATAAGGTGTTAGAGCATCTTAAATTGTGCCTTCAAAATCTCCTTATTAAATTAGGTATTAAAAAATTTTAATTTGAAAATATTAAAAAAATTATTTGATATATTATCAATAAAATTTTTTAATTTTATAAACGAAGTTAATATAATAATATTTTTTAGAATATATTTAAAAAATAAAAAATTAATTAAAAAATGAGACATGTATAATTTTTTAAAAAATAAACAAAATAGATAAAAATATAATAACTAAAAATGCATTTCATTTTAAGTTAAATTTAAATTAAGATATCTATAATAATAATTTTTATTTTAAATTAATTATTTAAAAATAAAATATACATCAATTATCAGCCAAATGCTTTAAGCCTTATTTGGATTTAAAAATAGCCTTGGTGAAGTATGTTTAGAGGTGCTAGCCGTGCCATTTTTATGTTTGGATAACAGTTGTGCAATTTCCCCTTATGCTACATCTCAGTCATACACTGAACTAGGGGTGTAATCGAGTCGAGTCAAGCCGATACAATGATAAGCTCGAGCTCGAGCTCGACTTTAAACTTGCTGCTCGATACTCGGCTCGAACTCGATCGAGTTTTATTTTCCTAGCTCAAGCTCAATTCGTGATCGAAATCGAGCTATTCGAACTCGCTCGATTAATATATAAAAAAAAGCTCGATTTTTATACTCGAAAAAAAACTCGATTATTCGAGCTCGAGCTCGAGATCTTTTACAACTAATTTTTATCAAACCTAATAAATATTATATTTTCAAGATAACAACAACAACAATAACAACAACAACAATAATAATAATAACTTACACAACAACCAAATTTAAGCAAATAAAAGTCTCATTAAATGATTCAAATACAACACACAAATATAAGACATAATGAACTTAGAAATTAAAATCCTAATTGAAAGATATTAAATATCCAAGCAAATAAGTTCACAAATAAGTTACAACAAACCAACAACAATACATATGCTACCTTCACAATATTATGTCTTCAAATGAACATTGGGCTCATATTGCTTTTTAATAAACCTACACAAAAGAATAATTACAAAACAAAGAAATTATAATTAACAATAAGAATAACGATAAAAGTACCCATGCAAGAAAAAGATTGTAATATTATTACAATGATCAATAACTTTAAATTTTTAACATTAGCATCAACATGGATTTTATCTTGTCAGTTGTCTTATAATCAATGCAAAAAAATATAAACAGTATCTTGTCAATTACCTTAACATGAGTTTCTATCATTAGTTAACCTATGGTTCGTAAATTAAAATGCAAAAAGCTCAATCTAGACTAGCTACTACCTATTTTTCTTTAGTAATGTTGTGACAAATTAAAAGTATTTAATAATAATATTTCATACATGTATAGAAGACATTAGATATCCTCACTTTAGGGGATTTTGAGTGCAATCTCAATTGATTTCTTCTCTTTCTACATAGATAAAGTAAAGAAAATAATAGTTAAAAATTAGATTAAAGCAATGATAGTCACCTAATAACAAAATAATAATAAAAAAAACTCACTTTGCTCTTCTTCTTCACTCCATGAAGATTTTGACACCAATCTCCTCTACAAAGTAATGCTTGCATTGTGTCAGGAGATAAAGAAGCACGATAAGTATCAATAACTCTACCTCCTGCACTAAAGGTAGCTTCTGAAGCCACTGTAGTGATAGGAATAGCAAGTATATCCCGAGCCATCTTGGATAAAATACGATACTTCAAAGTGTTCGCTTTCCACCATTCCAAAGCATGAAACTTAGTGGAATCTCTTCACAGATAAAACAACCTTCAGCTAGGTAGACATCTAAATCAGATTGTTGTGGTTGAGCAGTTTCAACTGATTTTACATAATTTGCAAATTCAAACCAACCAGAAGAAGAAGCTTCTATATTCATACCACTAATACCATTATCATGCACTTGAGTTTCAGCACTATGCTCATTGCTAAATTGATACTCACGAGCATATTCATCATAAATCTCATAAAGGGCATCTCGAACTTTAGCAATATTTTCTCTTGCTTCTCTATCAGGGTACATTCGAGGAAAATAAAACTCAATCACCCTCATTTTGCACCTTGGATCCAAGATTACTGCTATAGACATCAACAAATTACATTCTACCCAATACTTATCAAATTTACTCTTCATCTTACGAACCATTGCTTGAACAAATTCATTTTCATCATTCATCATTTTATCCAACAACACTTTCACACGATAAACTTCATTCAGAAACAGGTTTAAAGTTGGATAATCACTTCCAGAGATGATTTTCGTGGCTGAATTAAAAACTTCTAAAATCTCACAAACTTTCTCCATCTTTTCCCAATCTTCATGACTAGGACAACATTCATAATGAGATTCTCGCTTTTTGAGTCTCGAAAACACTTCTTTGAATTTGATTGCAATCGACAACATCTCGAATGTCGAATTCCAACGTGTTTTACAATCGAGAATGAGTTTCCTATCAGGTAACTGTAACTGTTGTACTATGTCAGAAAATGAGTTAAGTCTTACCTCATTTTGATTAATAAAATTGACACTTTCATGAACATCACCAATCACATTCTTAATCTCAGAAAGGCCATCTTGAACCATGAGATTTAAGATATGTGCACAACACCAAACATGAAATAATTTTCCTCCACAAAGCAACATCTTATTTCTTGAAAAAGTGTCTTTAAGAATTCTAATCGCCACATCATTGCTTGAAGCATTGTCCACAGAAAGTGTAAACACCTTGTTTTCAATTCCCCATTCCTTTAGACACTTAAAAATACAATCAGCAATCTCAACACCACGACGAGGAGGAGGTATGTGAACAAAGCTAATAACACACTTTTGCAATCTCCAATTAGAATCTACAAAGTGTGCTGTAAGAACCATGTACTCAATCTTTTGATTACTTGATTTCCACAAATCTGTTGTCAAACTAATCTTGCTGACAGTCTTCAACAATGCCTTTAATTTCTTCTTTTCTGCTTCATAAACTTGCATGCAATCCTTTTTAATAGTATTGCGTGATACCTTTTCCCATTCAGGTATCCCATATTTTTACATCATGTTAAAACCTTCATCTTCTATAATAAAAAAAGGATGCTCGTGCATAAGTATCCAATGTGCAGCTGCTTCTCTCATCTTTACCATATCAAATTTGCCATCTGTGAGAGCAGGTAGTATCTGTACATCACCACATGTGTTTACTGGCTGAAAGTTGATCATTTGTTGTTGATTCTGAAAAATTTTTCTCTTAACACAAGTTATCAAATGCCTCTTAAATTTAGTTATACTTTTACTTGTATTTACTGCTAGCTTCTTCTTGCAATGGACACATTCTTTTTTTTTGGAACCATAAAAAAGAGTGACTTCTTTGAACTCTAACCAAACAGCAGATGTCTTTTACCTTTTTTTCTCATTACTTTCTTCACACTCTTCAGGGTCAGCATTATCACATTCTCTATCATTGGCATCAATGACTGGTGTTTTATCTGTGTTACCATTAGTGGCATCTAAAGCTTCATTCATTGAATCATTACCATCATCTGACACAATTCGACTAGTAAAAGAATTTATTGTCGGCTGAACTGGTATAGAAGAGATATCCGGTGTGGTTGATGACATGTTTAGTTCCCTATAGCAAAAAAAAAAAAGACAAATCAAAACAATAATATAATTTTAGGATCAAACAATAATGCAAACAAGTTGTTAGAAACATGTGCGGTAAATTTTATTGCCAGAAACATGCTAAACAAGTTGCGAGAACAAATTATTGGAAGAGTATAAAATTTTATTCTTTGGGAAAATATACTAATATTGTAGGAATTTTAATAAATTTAAGATTACCTACTTCGATAATAATTTCAATTTCTAAAATCAATTTCTTAAAATGAATATTTCTTATTAATTTTTACAATTATACATGCCTATTTAGTATTTATATAACATTAACTCAATCTCATTAGAAATAAGTGTCAGGTTATATTCTAACAAATCTAATATGCATAAAGAAGAAAAGTATTCACATTAAACAGTCCCCAATAAATTAGTGATGAACTATATGGAAGCTCAAATTATGATTATGACTAAAAATAATAGAGCCAATGACCTTTTTTTTTTTGTTAAATAATATGAACCATCCAAAAGTTTTTCTACTGATAAAGCGTATTGTGCAAGTCTTGAAGTGGCCCAAATTCAATTACTTTCTTGCTAATAATATAGAGACTTTTGGTTTACAAAATTCAGTATTTAAATGCAACTTCACAAAGAACATACTGCTTTTCACAAGTTTGCAACAAAAATAAAAGTATAATATGATAGTGTTTGACAAACAAATCAGAATTGAGAATATCAATACTAACAAATAGCTATAACACCTTGCCCCCTTTCATTGTTGTTCTCGATCTGCATCCCCACAATATTCATAAGAGTATTTAATTTAGGCATTCATAAGGGTATTTAATTAAGGCATTCTTATTTAAACCACCTTTTAGCATGAATTGGAAGCCTAACATAAAAACATTTAACAAAAAAATGGCATTCAAAAAATATGTCATGGAGAAAGGGCTACGTTGAGGGATCGGGTTCTGTTCAAGCTACTGCAAACGTCGAATGGGTGGAACGAGCTTACCTTTTAGAGAGAGGAGAAAGGGCTACGTTGAGGGATTCGGGTTCTGTTCAAGCTACTGCAAACGTTGAATGGGTGGAACGAGCAGGGCTGTGTTGAGGGATCGGGTTCTGTTCAAGATCGGTTCTGTTCAAGCTACTGCAAACGTCGAATGGGTGGAACGAGCAGGGCTTCGTTGAGGGATCGGGTTTTGTTCAAGATCGGGTTCTATTCAAGCTATTGCAAATGTCGAATGGGTGGAACGAGCAGGGCTTCGTTGAGGGATCGGGTTCTGTTCAAGACTGCAAACGTCGAATGGGTGCTACTGCAAACGTCGAATGGGTGCTACTGCAAACGTCGAATGGGTGGAACGAGCAGGGCTTCGTTGAGGGATCGGGTTCTGTTCAAGATCGGGTTCTGTTGAAGCTGCTGCAAACGTCGAATGGGTGAAACGAGCAGGGCTTCGTTGAGGGATCGGGTTCTGTTCAAGATCGAGTTCTGTTGAAGCTGCTGTAAACGTCAAATGGGTAGAACGAGCAGGGCTACGTTGAGGGATTGGGTTCTGTTCAAGCTTTTTAGAGATAGGAGAAAGGGCTTTCGAAAGGGTGGAACAAGCTTGGAAGACAATGGAGTGGGATTCGGGAAGAAAAGGCGTCGCAAGGGTCTGTTGGTGAGTGAGAAAGACGGGGAAAAAGACTGAAGAAGAAGAGGGAAGAAAGAAAATAAAATTTTAGGGTTTTTTAAGCTAAGGGTAAAAAAGTAATTTTATAAATAAAATAATAAAAATAAATATATAATAGAAAAGCTCGATTAGGCTCGCGAGCTACTCGAGCCGGATATAAGAATACTCGAATTCGGTTCGATCGATAAGTCGAGCTACTCGAGCTCGAGCTCGACTCGATAATAATCGAACCGAATTCGAGTTTTCTTCGAATCGAACCCGAGTAGCTTGCGAGTACTAATGTATCATTTACACCTCTACACTGAACCCAGTGAAAAATTGTAAAGCTCAAACATAGGCTTTTTCCAATTTTAACCTCATTTGTCATTTATTTGTATTATTTTTAATTTTTATTTAAAAGTTTTCAAATGATTTTTTTGATAAGATAAAATTTTTAATTATTTATTAATAAAAATATTATTTGATATTAAAAAATTATTAAAATTTTAATTATTTTTTTAATTTAATATCTTTAATAATTAATTTTTATCTTATTACAATTTACATAATTGCTACTCTATTATTTAATTAAATACATATTTATAATTAATTTTAATCTTAATATTAAAATAAATAATTTTATTAATTATTATTATTTTTAATTTTATCAAAATTAATTTTAATTTATTTATGAGAATATTTAATGCGTAATAATATTAGTATAATATCTATACATAATTCGCGAGAAATAGCATGTGGCATAAGGTTATTCGCGAAAAATAGAAGCACGATATTAAAAATAGGAGAAAATGGGGGCATATGACTGACACGTGTTGGGACAAAGAATTTGAAGGAAAAAGTCCAGTGGTGAATGAATGGTTGTTGCTGAATAAATATTTTCTTGATTAGACAAAAGCGACGTTGATGTGACCGCTCAGAATTGGTACCTGGGCCCTACCGCATACCCCACTACCTGCGTACGTTATCATTTGTGGATTTTAATTCGTCAGTATCACAATTGAAACGACTTTCAATTTAAGAATTATTTTTTTCACAATATTCTCAAATTATAACATGTCTATTGTTACCCGATATTGTTAGATATTTTAAAAATTTAAATATAAATGTAAGTATTGAGATAAAAGAATTTTAGATAATTTTTTATTATCAAATGTCATATAAATTTTAAAATTATATTATAAATTTATCTTTATCTAACTATGATGATATTATATTTATAAAATTAAAAGTTACAGATAAAAATTTTAAACATATTCATATTTCAAAGCAGATTTCTAATAAAAAATTTATTCATCTTATTTCTTAAGTTATGGACAACAAGTTATAAAAAGATTTAAAAAAAAACAATTCAATACTTTGATCTAACCTATAAGATAAATTCAATGACATTATGACAATCGAGTTTGATCAAAACAAAGGAAAAATAAATTCTTACCCCGACCATCTTACCCATACAATTTATGATACAAGCCTGTCAAACTAAACCAAATATTCTAGTTGCACACTTCAAACCTAATAGAAAATCTGTATATGCATACAGATCTCCACAAAAATATTGCTATTGAGACATTAATTACAGATACAAAGGATGTTAAAAAGATAGCTATAGAAGCTTATTTGATGATGATGATGATAAAAAAGCAAAAGAAAAGGTCTTCCCAATAAAAATGAAAGAAAGATATGAAAAATGAGACTCTGAAGTTAATTTCCTTGGTAAACCCTCAGAAAAGTTTGATTATTATGTTATCTATCTCAAAAAAGATAAAAACCCAGAAACACTTCCCAAACCTTGCAAAAACTAAGCTATAAAAAATCTAGACTCAAACTAACCTTTACCGAAGGTATGCATGATGCAACCGAGACAATCTTATAACTCATATTTTCCTCCCTTCTAAGAATTTGACAGAAACCAATATAAACACATCATAAAAATCTTAAATCCTATTAACCGAGACTAATATGGAAACCAGAAAAGCATTGCTTAAGTAAAAGCAGTTTTGAACTGGCAAACAAATAACTCTATTCAATATAATGCATATATGTATAGGATAAAGAATAAGCTAGAACAAGTCAGACACCACTTTGATCAGAGTCTCACTAATCTTTAGAATATTATTCTTGATATTCAGACAAGGATAATAATTTTAGATCAAAAATCTCGATACATAATGAAAACCAATATTGATTTTACTTGTGATTTTACATACAAAGAGAGAAAATCACTCAACTTCTCTAAGAAGTTCCCCTTTATAAGAAATCCTCTCTTATAAAATATGTTTGGCTAAAATCTCACATCTCTTTTGATAATTCCTTCATTCTTTTTCAATTGTTAGGTTTAGAATTAAAAACAGTTTTTACAATGATACAAGTTAAGTATGCTTTGTAATTGCCATAGTATTATAGATTTTTTGCATCAAAAAGCCTTGTAGAGTTATCAAATAAACCATTGATCCACTTAACCAAAGAAAAGTTATTATACTAAGGTCTTACTGAAATAGACTATCATAGTTAAAAGCATGTCTCCATATAAATCAGATCACCTGTTCGACATTATGCTAAAAGGGTGCTAAGTCTTGAACACCGATTAGAATACCTTGATTATATGTCTGAACTATAGACTGCTTATGTTTAATATTGCCTTGATAAGGTAATCGATCTCCTCGTTACTTGGTATCAGAGCGTAACTCCATATAGAATTCTTTTTCTATTCTA